TATATATTGGCCTACGTTTGTGAATGATGCGGTCTGCTTGTTGGCTCTCTGGGTGGAACGTGAAGATGAAAGGTGTTAATACCACCTTTTCTTTATACTTCATTATTTTATAAATGTTGTCTGTTCCCTTGATCATTTTATGAAAGACTTTTGCTGATTTTCTTTAAGGTATGCAACGTAAGGCAACAAAACATGGACGCTGCTATTAGACCATAACAAAATTGTTATTTTTCTTAATACCCTTTTCCCACATTCCACGCCCAATCCCGATCCCATGGGGATTACAGTTTACTAAATAAATGACATATCTTTAAAAATAAAACAGAGATAAGATTAAGAAACAAATGGTATACTGTTTGAAGGACATTCTATATAATAAATGATTATTTCATTTCTTTATTTCTAATTAATACATATATCCCTGTTCAAATTTAATAGTTGTTCCAGAATAACACCAATAGACAAGAATTTGGAAACGCCACTGCTAGTGTTGATTATTTGTACCATCGAGCTATCCCATACAGGGTGAGAATTCTAGTTCTATGATAGTCGTATTTTCTTATGTATAACACTTGCCCACATACAAACAAAGTTACCTGCTGTAATACTGTATTTTAGCAGATTACAGTATAATATGTTCTGATATACTAGTGCATCGTGGTTCTATGGTGTTCACAGGTACGTGGTAGACAGAAGTCATTTTATTTACACAGCAGATACTTTTGCATGTTCACATTTACCCCCTGAGGTTCTTTGAGTGGTCTGTCTCATGATATAAAAGATTACCCTCAATTGCTTATTTTCATGTACAAAATTGCATGAAAATTGCATATCTATATATCATTTTGTTCATGGATAAAGATAGGTACAAACACAGTTAAAGAATATAATGCGTATCTAGTCTATGTTTGTATATCTGGATGATTGGTGCATCGATGAGTAGTTAGATGATAAGGCAGATGGATATAGAGCCAGATCTTTGATTAAGGTCACCTCCGTATGAAATTAAACCGTATGGAAAGGTAACGTGCAAAATGTTCCCATTTGTAATTTGTTAATTGAAACCATTTATACTGCAAAACTCTGGTGTGATCTTCAAAGAAAAGGTTTAAGTGTTCCAGTATTTACCGGTATATATGTCTAGAACGTGTTTCTGTTCACAGTTATTATTATTATTATTATTATTATTATTATTATTATTATTATTATTATTATTATTATTATTATTATTATTATTATACAGAATGAAGCGGGCAAGACGCTAATGGAGTTAAATCTCCAGAGACGGGACACAGACAATGTTGTTTTCGATTACGATCCTAAACGAGATCTGCAAGATCGGCAAGTTTCAAGTAAGTTTAGTTTGATATTTCATATTGTCTAAGCTGCAGACATTAGTAGTGAATTGGAGTTTATCTAGACCAAAACGGGACTCCCATGTTTAACCTCGGTAAAAGTTTACAGATCAAAACGGGAATTTAAAGTGGGAATGGCCCTCTTGACCCAAACGAAACTTTAACATAGGAATGAGAGTTTGGGAAATAAAGGGAGGTTTAACATGATTATGGCAGACTGGGGACAGCCTTGTAATCTAATATTCATCACCTAGTTAACTACTAGCTAACATATAGTTATTTGCAATCCAACATTCAGTGTAGTTACACCAAACGCTCACAACTACTATGATTTCAAAAGGGTACGACGCATAAGAAAGCGTATGTAAAGTCACACACAAGAAGGTTCGAGTACTAATACACATACTATACTTACAAATATCACACGTCAGATGGTAAGAATGTTTATATACAACTATACCCACATACACACTCCCTTGTTGCTGCCTTGATCTGGAATCCAATCAAATCCACCAAAAGCGTATCATCCTGAATAATCCTGATATGAAATACCGTATTCCCAAACTGCCCCTACCCATTTTGTTTGTAAAACTACCATCAACTTTACTGTTTTTATAACCCCAGTGGAGCACAAGAAAAGATAAAAGAACACTGCAGTTTCTTTTTATATATTATTTATTCTCATTGTAGCACAAGGGGAAGTTAACATTATGTTATCAGTGTTTATGAATCTAAAGTAACAAGGGTATATCCTAACGTGTTCATAGTTTATATAATTTTTAAATCCTATATGAATGTTATTGATTAGTGATAGATTTGCTAAGAGATCTTAAATTTGACAATTCTCACTGGTGGCCTGTTGTACTTTGTACGTAAGGGTATCATATTTTTCATTTACCTGTTTCTAAAAACCAGAAATGATAATGAACGTAGTTATTTTGTCAGCCCATATTGTTCATAACCATGGCTTCCAAAGACGTGTATAAAAAATTACAATGTAGCAATCGCTACCTTAGACTAAATCTTCGTTTTATACAAGGCCTGGAGTAAACAATTTTCACATCTGTCTCTGTCATGATTTAATATCAAATGAACGATATTCATGTCATGCATTTTCACAGATGATTTTCACCAAGAAGCACACATATTGTGAACCACATTTTTTTCAAAGTCAGATCAAAATGTTATTAACTTGTGTTTTGTATTTTATTTTAAAGACACGCATTGAAAAATAATACTTTAAATATCTAAGTTCAAATTGTTTGTACCGTAAGATTTTCCTTTCCTGTTGTTTAAAATAACTATATTTTTTATGATGAATGAAATGTAAAGACACACTCAAGTTCTAAACGTTTTGGCGTGAAAGTGTTATGCATATTTAATTTGTATTTTTTGTTAGTTTTTTTTATTTGATTATATGCAATAGATATTTGTATACTTGCCCAAATCAAGTTCATTTTTAAACTAAAATTTTGCAAACAACTAATTCATAACTAATACTCCATGAGTATGAGCTTAATATTAGGATCCAATCAAATCCACCAAAAGCGTATCATCCTGAATAATCCTGATATGAAATACCGTATTCCCAAACTGCCCCTACCCATTTTGTTTGTAAAACTACCATCAACTTTACTGTTTTTATAACCCCAGTGGAGCACAAGAAAATATAAAAGTACACTGCAGTTTCTTTTTATTTATTATTTCTTCTCATTATAGCAAATATATTGATCTTAGTCCATGTCGAGGACATTGTGTTTACCATGTTCTTTATATTATAATTTTAGAAACAGACCTTTTAATTATAACTAAACTCTTTTAATTATAGCTAAACTCTTAAATATTTGGATCCTTCCAGAATGAAATTTTCTATTAGGTAATATTTTTGTTTATAAAATGCTGATTGTTACCTGCGTTCAGGTAGAGGACGTATTACTGGAAATATTATTTATTCATGTTTTAAGATCTGAGCAGAATCAGTTGTATTATTCTTGTGATCTGTATTTCATTTGGGCTGGAATTTATTTATTTAAATTCTTTAACTCAAGTAATTCTTCTCTGGAAATACAAGTGCTCAAAAATATCATTATTGGAAATAGAAACAGTGATTCATAGTGAAGTTCAAACAAGGATATATTCTTTGATTATATTATTGCAACCCAAAAAGAAGCCTGTTGGTACAGAACTTCACCACAGGCACATTATCATTTTTATCGTTAGATTTTGAATATCATTAAAGTTGATCCCAAACTTTATATATTAGAACGTGTGTTAAAAATTGTAAAATATTTTGGGAATTATTTCGAAAAACCATTAGTTCTTTTAGCATTTTTCACTTTATGTGTGTTTGTATATATATATATATATATATATATATATATATATATATATATATATATATATATATATATATATATATATATATATATATATATATATATATATATACCATTTATTCTGACCTATCACCCAGACAATCCCAAAGTAGGTAAAATCATCGCAAACCACTGGCCAACCGTGCAATCGTCAGACATACTAAACCTAATACTTCCGAACAAACCTGTAGTAGCTTACCGGAGACCAAAAAACCTAAAGGACATCCTAGTCAGGGCCAAGCTAACAACAATCGCTAGTCAAAACCAACCTAGTCAATCTGGACCCTGTGGTGATAAAAGATGCAAAACCTGTCAACATATGATAGAGACCAAGACATTCACTAGCACAGTGACTAAAGAAAAACTAAACATACATGGTCCAAACAAAACGTGCAAAACAGAGAATGTGATTTATCTCATCACATGTAAGATCTGTGGCCTTCAGTACGTGGGAGAAACTGAAAAGCTACACATAAGGATAAACCTTCATAGATCTGATTGGATAACAAAAAAGCTGTACAGAAGCCCGGTCGCAGAACACTTCTCCTCCCCTGGCCACACTTTCAGTGATATAATACTTATCGCTATTGCTAACAACCACAGCTGGAGTTCCGAAACCAGGAAGGAAAAGGAATCATACTGGATACGCCGCCTTAGAACATTGAAACCAAGCGCTCTAAACCAAGAAGACTAGAAAATGAAAACTATGCACTAGTAGAATTTAACATTTTCTAAATCTTAATATCCTTCAATTTTTACTATAAGAATAACCGGTATAGAATAAAATATCCGGGATATAATCTGCGTTACATATGTACACAAAGTAAAAATAGATGTCGCTTTGGCTTGTAGACTTTTAGGGAATTATACAACGTTTTCAGTTTCCGCAACTAGTCTATACAAGCTGGTTGTATTTATAGTGTTAGCACATGTGAAGAAAGAAATGTAGAGGTTTACAAACACAACGTTTTTGTGTTTATTTGTTTGTCGTAACTATGTTTTGTATTTGCCTTTGAAAAAGACTCATTAAGAGTCGAAAGCGCTTAGGCTAGTTAGTTACTAGTTTCGTACTGTTCGTCGTCAGTTTATTGCATCTATTTTAATTAATCCCTGACAAACGTGATCCCTTGGTGGATCCAGTACGCTTGAGAGGGTTGTTATTCGCCATATGATTTGTATTCTTTATATATATATATATATATATATATATATATATATATATATATATATATATATATATATATATATATATATATATATATTCCATCTAGTCCTTTGGCTTAGTGGTTGGAGCGTCCGCCTCGGAATCGGGAGGTCGCGGGTTCTATCCCCGGCCGAGTCATACCAAAGACTTGTAAAAATGGTAATAATAGCTGCCTCACTAGGCGCTCAGCACTAAGGGTACTAGTCGGATGGTGTCAAGATAATGTGACTAGGTGGGACATGATGCTACATGTTTGTGCATGATGTAAACTATCACACTGCAGACATCGTAGTGACATGACTGAAAAAATATCAAAGTTACATTAAAAATCAAATAAACACATAATAAATTATTTGTAGAATTTATAAAACTTGTTGGTTCTCACTCTTTTTATTACTTTTTTTAAAACTATATAGTCGTAATAGGAAGGTTTTAAAAATGGCAATACAATAATAACATTGCTTTCTATTTCATGTTGTCAAGAGAGAGAGAGAGAGAGAGAGAGAGAGATTCAAAGAAGTATAGGGGTCAATAGGGTTGTTAAATGTGAGTGACAGATATGTTTATCATAAATGTGCGTATGTCTGCTCATGTGTGTGTTTAAAATAGAGATAAAAGTAGGTACCTATCTCTCTCCCGCACACAATGAGATACACACACAGATTAATTATTTTATAGAAACGGTATAGCGCCTGTCCCTAATCCAAATGATTACATGAAATTTAAAGTTATGCTACAGTAGAGCAAAGCAAATTTTAACTAATATTTGTATAGGCACTGTCTGTCTTTTAATTCTTAGGTAAAACACGATTTTGTTACAATCGACTTCACTTTGGTAAAACGTCTGGCAGAATAAAAAAAAGTTAACTGGTAAACCTTTTTTGTAATAATTTATGCATTTAAAAGGGGGTGGTTATTTTGTTTAGAAAAGAAGGTTAGAAAAGGGTATTAGGACCAAAAAAATATGTTACAGTCGGCCGCCAATCAGACAAATACCTGAAATTACATCGTTAAATTCAAATAATAATTCTTGTTTATTGACAATTAATTTTTATTTTGCTATTAACTCCATCGACGAATGTTAAATTTTCAAAGATTATTTCTGATGCTTACACAATATTACTTAAATAATGTCCAAGCGCGAGAGTATTAATTCCATCTGTGCAATACCTTTAATCATCAAAATTGCTTAGTCCACGTTTTGTAATTGTATTTGTTTTAAGTTTATGATGATTAGTCCTGATGACATTAGTTTTGATAAACATGATACTGTTATTTAGAACTACTATGTAATCCTCAAAGTTCATCATTCTTTTTACATATTCGCCAGGGATACCTTCAGCTTTCTTTGTCAGTTTATTGTCGTCTAATACGACAGCATATATTTTGCTTCGTAATCCAACAAACCCTCCCACCAGAACAAACATAGACTCATCTATCATTTTTCTAATAACTTTCTTGTTCGAATTATCATGAAATTCACTACATGTTGGATAATCTGGTAAATCAAAAAAAAAATTATTGTAAATATTCTCATATACATTTTCACATTTTATATCATAAACTAGTGAGTCTGTATCAGTAAATAGCTACTCCGAATCTGGCCACTGAGTTAGTAAAATTATAATGAAAATCGTACATCAGCCACTTTGAAATATCAAGTACAGCTGCACCAACATAAACTGGATTATTTAACTTTAAATTTGTCTTTTGTCGTTGTATTGCGGCAAGATTTTCAGTGAATATTTTCATGCTAACAAAAACAAAGTCGTTAACTAATTTATTTCTACGATTAATGTCATTAACAATTTCAATCGAAACTCGTTTACGATAATTATTCATAGCCTTACCAAACACCGAGCTGTTCATTAACTTGAAAAAGTTTTTGTCAAATTCGGCTTTAGCCACAGCACGACGGTTCGTATTTAAATCAAAATAATCTGCCATGCACCGCGACTGATTAAACGTTAGCATGAGATGGACTTTTCTCAGAATTAGTCCAGCAAATGTTTGCCCGTTGTTCAGGCGATAATAAACTGTAATCAATCGTCATTATCTCTGCGCAAAACGGATAGTCATTGTGTGGATCATGTAATGAACTAGTGTAGTCTAGATCAATTTCAACAAAATATGAAATATATTTTAGAGGATTTTTTTCAGTTTCTTTAAGAAATTGATTTGGACTTATCCAATGCAACCCACCACAAGGCATTGGCTGTATTAAAGTCCACCCATAAAGATTAACACAGTCCAGATAAATAATGTAACTCGAATGGAGATTTTTTATCATAACTTTTGAGGTATTTGTTATTAGCTACTGCATATTTTTTGTTATAACGCTAATTCCACCTCTGATGCCTTTTACAATAAAGTCAAACATATCGACATCTGTTAAGAGATCTATTTCTATTTTGTTCGTTTTTAGTAGAGCGTTCCAAGACAGTCCAGGAGCAGAATAATACCAACAAGGATATAATCCGTAATTTACATGACTAACCAGACGAAAATTCTCGAAAGCATCTGCTAGCAAATATACATTCGTTTTCAAATATATATCGTGATAATCACCAAATGTTTTAATGGCAAATTTATTCCACATATTTATACACGTTTCAATTTTTAGCTGCGAGTAAACTTTATTTTTGTTAGGCAGAGAAGTTTCATTAAAGCTGCTCCAGTCGTCGAGATACTCATAAGGAAAAATACCATCAACAATAACTTCACCGAAGCAACTCCTTAGGTTAGCGAAATTACTGTAACCCTAAAAAAGCTCGTCCAATGATGGTGCCATAAATTACATACTGTCAATGAAACGTAATTTGCCGAGGGTCACTAACATATACTTTTCAAAATTATTTGGAATACATTTTATCAGATTATTCAATTTTTGTTTTGCTTTAATATTTTTATCACCATAAGCTTCTGCAATGATTTGACTGTCGTAGCCACGAAAGTTATGTAAAACTACTGGAATAAAATCTGGAGCAGGAAATTTCAAATTGCAACTGTTATGAGATGCTCCACGATATTGGCCGGTCAAATGACAATGATCTCGCACCTTGGAGTCCGCCAGCAACTTTTCACAAATATCTCAATTAACTGCCTCATCAAAGTCGAGCAGCAATAGGCAGGGTGAACCCTATAAAATTTTGCTCGAGTCATAACAAGAAAAAAGGTTCCTGCAGAGGCTGAAAAAAAATACGTCAACAACGCTAAACTAAAGTCTCTTTTACTGGAATTGAAGTTGGAAAGTTAACGCTGAATTCAGGATTGGTTGAACTTATTGATATCATATCATTTTTTGATGGCGTCGTATTAATGACGATCTGTTGCAATAGTTCTCTTGAATCAGACATTTTTGTTATGTGTATTATTTAATTCTCAATCCTTTCGTTATTGTAACTAGATGATGCGTTATTTTCCATCACGAATGCTTCATCATAGGTTTTCATTATCATAACGAACTCCTCATCAGATATTTTACCATCAATGCGGTACAAGGAAAGATGTGAGCATTATTTAGTATAGGCGGCTGTTGCTGTGTGTAATTTCATCATATACTCGCATAATTTATCGTTCGTGCATGTAGATATTTTCTTAGCGATAATACTGAGAATACCTGCACATGTTGTTGTCGTAGAAACGACAATCATTAAAACCACAATGGCAGTCATAGTTAACGTTGATAATAATAATCCGGTTCCAGCAACAACAGCAGAAACCGAGTAAACTACTACATCGATAACAACCATGCGTCTGCGATATTTTTTCACTTTCAACGTGTATTCGTCGATCATATATTTTTTAGTTCAGTCTGACACTTACACGTCTGATTATATCTGTGAAGTTGAACATCAATGAGTGACTCTGTCATCGGATTCATTATACCTAATGACGTTGTTATTTAATTAAGTAATTAAAATGGGAGCTTTAGTTACAAATTCCAGACACCACCAGTAATTAGCGGAGGACAAACTTCTATACAACGATTCCAACGTGAACGTTTCTTCAGAATCTTTATCCAACATTACAGATACGGTTCTAGATAATTTATTAGCTAATGGAGATGTGTTAAGCATGTTAAATTCTGTAACGGTAAACACAGACAATCTATATATACCAGCGACCTCCGCGGTGTGCTTGATGGTTTTATTTCGTTGTGTCCATGTAGCTGCGCCTGATCCGACGACGTACACTATGTTGATGATCTGTTTGTGAGGAATTTTAATCAGGCTTGTTTTTTTTCAACAATATTCGTAATTCCACTAATAATATCGTTGAGTTTTTGTGTTAATATCAGTAAGTTTTATATCAACATTTGGTGGACTTCCAAAAAATTCGTTATTAGTTTTGCTCAATATCTCTGTATCAGATATCATGACGCATTGCTATTTCGTCAACTTAATTGTAAGTCTCTTGTTCTGGCAGCGGATTATCATTTTCTTCAAGATGCTGGTCAAAAGAATTCCATGGAAACCTTTTGGTTTCGGCAGTTAAATTAATGGATGTTCCACTTATTTCTCTGTTGTTCCATTTCTAGCAATATGCAACAAATTTATTTTGTTCAGAGACATAAATCTCTATCGCAATCACAGTTGCATGTCATTATTTACTTAATCGTCTTTCTAAAATAATGTCAGGACATCTCGCCCTGATCACGTTTAAGCTGCTAACTTTGCTGCTGCTGTCAAATACTTTTTCTTTTTCCACAAATTACACAACTACATTTCAGCATTATTCTATTATTCTTTGGGTCTGTTTCTGTTTTTCGTCTTCGTTGTCTGTTTTAGTTTTACACTTAAGACACTATGTTGACATTGTTATAATTGTAATTTAGATACAATTTTTTGCAAGCTTTATGAAAATTAATTGCAATCTCATCATTAGCGTAAGAAAGTTGTTTGTCAAACTGCAAAAACACTTTTAAAGATCTTAATTTTTGGTCATACGTTTTTCGAACATTATTCAAAAATATACACTAGCGGAAGTTCCAACTGGCTGAATTTGGTTAGACGAATAATTTATTTTTTTGTTTTTACTCATATATTTTTTACCGCGTCACTTGGTGGAATTCCGAACGAATAAAAATAATTGTTATCAAAAACAGCTACCCAATGTGAAACAGATCTGTCATTAAAATTTTGTATAT